CCTTCCTTCCGAGGAGTGGCTGGTGGGTTTGAACCGCCAGCCTTCTGGTGAGCAGTCAAGTGCCTTAGGCACTATGCTACCAGAGCTCAAGATTTCAAAGAGCAGCTTGAGCAGACAGAGCTGATTACTATAATGAAATGTGCAAAGACCTGGAGTTAGAGAACCAAAGGAAAGAACATGCTTGGCATCTCTCAAACTGAAAGAACTGAGAAAAAAATTGAAGCCTCCAGTTGCAATATTGAAAGATTCTATAGCAAAATATTGAATGATACAGGAAGCACCCAAAGTAGATGGAAGGAATACAGAGTCACTGTACAAAAAAGAATTGGTCGATGTTCATCCTTCTCAGGAGGTGGCATGTGATCAAGAACCAATGATACTGAAGGAAGCAGTGGAAGCTGAACTGAAGGAAGTGGTAAAGAACAAGCCTCCAGGAATCGACAGAATACCCAATGAGATGTTTCAACAAACAGATGCCCTGCTGGAGGCACTCACTCAGTTATGCCAAGAGATTTGGAAGACAGCTACCCTGGCCAATTGACTGGAAGAGATCCATATTTATACCCATTCCAAAGAAAGGTGATGCCACAGAATGTGGAAATTATCGAACAACATCATTAAAATCACATGCAAGTAAAGTCTTACTGAAGACAATTCAAAAATGGTTGCAGCAGTATATTGACAGAGAGCTTCCAGAAGTGCAAGCTGGATTCAGAAGAGGACGTGGAACAAGGGATGTCATTGCTGATGTCAGATGGATCTTAGCTGGAAGCAAAGAATACCAGAAAGATGTTTATTTATGTTTTATTGACTGTGTCAAAGCATTCAATTGTGTGGATCATGACAAATTGTGGATAACATTGAGAAGAATGAGCATTCAGAACACTTGATTGTACCCATGAGAAACCTGTACATAGATCAGGAGGCTGTCATTTGAACAGAACAAGGGGATACTGCATGGTTCAAAATCAAGAAGGGAGTGTGTCAAGGTTGTATCCTTT